ATTATATATAGTATATTTTATTTATTCAATAATTTATTTATTCAATATCTCGAACTAATCTGTTCCAGGTGCAAACATTTTCAAAAACTAATTTTAATCAAGATCTAGACACTTTATATGAAATTCAAATATTGATAGAAAGGCATAAAGGATATCTTGAGCATATCGTACATTACATTAAGAAATGGTTTTTCTACTGAAGCGAAGATTTCATGTGAAGTGATCTGATTAATCAAAAAGATGAAATGTAATACAAAACACATATTTGCCCCTATATGAATTTTATAATAATATTATTTTTATCTATTATCACCATCTTGTAAACATTTTTTAATTATTTTTAATTATTTTAATTTAATTTTCTAAAACTTTTCAATATTTTTATAGTATATCTTGGGAAACTATTAGTGAAGTCTTTTGACATAAATTAATCGTCTGTAACAGTCTATTGACAAATAATTCATATAATATTACATAATATATTAAACTCTTTGCATGCATGTGTAAAATATTTTTATAAACGCTAAAACTTTATTAATTACATTTAATACAGAGCAATTGTAGTTAAATTATCTCAATTGATAAATATATTATATAATATATCTATATTTTTAGATTATATGTATATGTGTATATAATAGTGTCGTTATTTAATAACAATTCCTAAACAGTTAATAGCATTATTATTATTATTATTATTATTATTATTATTATTATTATTATTATTATTATTATTATTATTATTACTATCTTTATAGATGTTTGATTTGGAATAGAAAACATGAGATAATGTGTGTCACAATGTTATTTTAAAAAAACTGTTATTTTAAAAAAATGTTATTAATTAAAAAAACAGCTAAATAATAAAGATATATTCATTTAAACAATAGTTATTGTTATAATCAATAAAAGCATTTCTGTAGATAATTTTTTATTATTCATAACTTTTATTTTTTTTTTGTTTACATTTACACATTTTTGCTTACATTTACACACTTTAAATAAATTAACTTCTCTAAAAAAAAGAAAATGAAGTTCATTTATAAAAGAATGTTTTCGTAAAGCATTGATCGGCAATAGCTGCAATTTTCGAGAAAAAATCATATCAGACATATGCATAAATATCATAGAACAGTATAGAGGAAACATGAATCGACAAATTAGTAGATAACCGAACACATAGAGAGAAAGGAGGGAAGAGGGGAGAGGGGAAGAGAGGAGAGAGAGAGAGAGAGAGAGAGAGAATCAAAGTTGGAGGAATAGAGAAAATATAAGAAAATAAATATCTTGAGAAACTAAATAATAAAGCTTAATTTATACTTTTGTAACTTTTCTATTTTTACCATTATATATTCTTATATTTTTCTACCTTTTATTTTAGGTTTTTATCTTAATATTTATAATGGCAAAAATGTGAACATGTTGTTTCAATCTAATGATAACTATATTAGAAATACTAGAATTACGTAGAATAAATGATAAATTTTATAGAAATGTAAATACGTGTAAAAAATCTTTTAGAAAATTTGAGTTTGCTCTGAACATTTTTATGTTATAATCAATTATTTGTTACACTGTCAGACAATATTTGACATTGCGATTAAGAAATCTTATTTCATCTTTTTTGAATCTGGTAATTAATCATTTATCATTTATACAATAATTAGATGCTTAAATATTATAAATAATGTTAGGAAATCTTGTGCATGCGCGCGCGCGCGCGCGTATATATATATGTGTGTGTGTGTGTGTGTGTGTGTGTATGTGTGTGTGTGTGTGTGTGTGTGAAAGAATCGAAGCAATAACACCTTCTTGAGAGATATATTGAATTTTCCATTAAAATGTAAGAATTTTTTAAAATGAATTGTAGCATGTAATCTTGTTATGTTATTTTTTATATTTATTAAATATTTATTATTATTGTTATTAATATTTATTATTATTGAATTTCTTTATGCAGAGCTTCTCATTTTCAATTTTTTGTAATGTTTTTTTTTGTCGAGGATTTTATTCAGACCGATATTCAGAATCGGTACTTTACTACGTAGGATACATAGACAATCCTAATGATGATGATATCACAAAATTGACAAGGATAAACGCCTTAAAAGGTGTATGTAATCTTGATAACAAGAAATGTAAGAAAGTGACCGCGCTTAAATTAAGCAAATATCTCGCAGATCCCAAAATTTACAAGTAATAATCTTATATTTATAATTATTTCGTAAATTGTATTTGTGTGTGCATGCGTACACGTGCATATGGATACATTACAATCGATTCTCTATTTCTTCAAATTGTTGAGATCAAATATTCATCGTTTATTTTCTATATAAATCAATTTCCATTCTTATTTAATAATGACAGAATAAATATGATGTTACAAGCAAAAATATAAGTACAATAAAATGACAAGCTGCACTACCAACATCTTTCTTCATTTTGTTTCTTTATTGTAGTATTATTATGTGATGACATAACAACTTTTACACTACAGTGTACAACAGCAGAGCAGAATAAAAATTTAATTTTACGAAGTTATACCGCTTAATAACGTATAACAAGATTACGGAACGTAAAAATACAAAATTTGATAAAATAGGAAGTCAGTTATTGTATGAAATATGTATGCATTCTTTCTTAATAAATATATATTTTAGAATTCTATAAAAGGAAAAATTTATTTACTGTGCCGGTATAATGGCAGCCAATAGGACTATTTGGGATAAAATGTTCAAATTATATTCAATAAAAAAAGGAAAAAATGGAAACGAATGGAATTATTGAAAGGTTTGAGTTGCGCTGAAAATCCTGATATCAACATCAATTATTTAAATATATTAGCATTGAATATTTCATTATTTCACAATAATGCGCATTTTTTTATCTTCAAGTGTATTCTTGAAAAGCACACATGCAACGATATCCTTGATTACATATTAAAAAATTTTATGATTATGCTTCCTAGATAATAGTATTCCTCTTTGTAAACGTGCTACACTGTTTTCTTAATCATAAGTATTAATTATTTTGTTTTTATAGATCATTTACTACACATGCAGTGATAAAACTTATTCTTGACAATGTCAATTTATTCTTACGAACAAATTGACAAGTAAATTTCATAATTCTAAATTTATGATTAGTGATCTATTGACTATAAAAATCGATTTAGCCCTTAAACTACAATATCCAAATTTAAAAAAATAATATATCGTTGCATAATAATAAATTAACTATTTATTCAGTATCTCGAACTAATCTGTTTCAGGTGAAAAGATTCTCAGAAACTATTTTCAATCCACTCATTTTATCTGAAATTAAAAAATTCATGTACAAGAAAAGAATATCTTACAAAGTTGATATTGATGACAAGTTTTATTTCAGAGAAGAAGATTTAATTGAGAATTTATTATTGATACGTTCACAAAAAAGTTAATCTGCAAAAAACAAAATTTAAATTTACTAATTAACTTTATAATAATACTATCTGTTCAGATATTAAATTGTAAATAACTAATCTATTTAATTATACTACTAATTTATTTTTGATATTTTTCAATAATTTTATAATATTTAGTATTTTATTAATAGTTTGAGAAAACTATTGACATAACTTTCTGACACATTAATCTTTTATCAATGAGAAATAATTTATATAT